TGAAGCAACTGCCATGTGATTGGTTGATTAGATAATTGCATTAATGAGAAATTGAACAGGTGTTCCTAATAATCCTTTAGGTGAGTGTATTTCCTATAAAAACATGAAGTTACTTTTCTTCCCTTTGCAAAACAAAAATAAAGCTTTTCTTTTCGTATTATCTTAGAGCTCCCTTATATTTAAGTAAATAAATGAAAGTTGGCTTGTTAACAAGATTACCTAGCTCCACTGGAAGGGTTAGTTAAAAAATTCTTATTTTTAATTTTCATATCAATTTATTTGTTCTCAGCTCTCATTCCTAGTACACCACCATCTATTCGTCCTTGATGCCCTGTCGCAAAATTAGCCATTTTTATATCTATTGATGAATTTAAGGGTGTCATAAAGAATGTGGTGAAGGAGACGTGTGACTGTTTTTCTTGAGAGGCTTGTGTGTTTAAATAGCTGTATAATGTTTGGATTGTTTTTATCATATTGTGTATGTTGCATTTTAACATGTCGTAAGTTTATACGGCTGCTACCTTGGTCAGGTCTCTCTTGTAAAAGAGATTTTAATCTTAATGGGGCTTCCTGGTAACAGAAATGTAAATAAAATAAATAAATTAGCGCAGTGAGATTCAGGATAGCTGCTAAAAACATTGGAATTTGATACGATTTCAGTGTGTTTATGTGGTGTTAGTGTTCCTTGTTTCTGCTGTTATAGTGTCGTCTGATGGGGCCCAACTGTCTCCTTCACTGTATAGGAGTAGCTACTTACATAATGTCACCAAAGTTGTGGTCGTTCTGGTTGACATTAGCCTCGTTAGCGGCAGTAACACTAAAATCACCTCTCTCAGCATTTTATCCACGCAGCTGACAATTTGAAATAAAAGTATGTGGAATGGTCACCACCTTTAAAATTCAGGACTTGGCTTGCGGAGCAAACTGTAGACGCGACTGCTCAGCATGCCATCTTGTCAAAAGTCAGCATCCCACAATGTGACACCTGGAGTAGTGAGGGAATACAGGGGGGCATGAAAATATACTTAATACAATGCATGATGCCCCCTGCATTGCAGTGGCCGAGGGAGTGACACCACTGTTTATAGGTAATATTTGTCTATTCAGTGGATTATCAGAAGTCCACACCTCTTTGCAATCCGAAAGGAAATTCAATTTATTATTCTCAGGGTGTTTATATTAGGCAATTTCATTCTGATCGAGTTTAATTCCTATTATTAGCTTCCTTGTAAATGTAGTGAGTAAAAGTTACTCTCGCAGACATAGGCTTTGACCTTCTGGTCATGGGGAAATCAAAAATTTACTATCACTATTACCAATCGACCAACTCTTGTTCCTTACTGAAAATACTTGAAGTTCTTGAAAATAATTCAAGTTGAGACTTCGTAATGTAAAGTTTCTTTAATAAGCAGGGAAAGAAGCAAAAGCAACAGTGTCCCCATCCCAAGGTGATGACACACCCAACAAAAGAAAATCAACAGTTTATATACCTTTTTCAAGCTTCCTTAAAAAGCATATCACTACTATGATTGGCTAATTCTCAAAAAAGCAATTCACCTATCAAAACGCTCATTAACAATGATTTGTTAATACTTCAAGAGGTATGTCAATTATAGTTGGTTGCTACCTCAAGAGGCACATCACTTTTACATAGTTGGCTTGGGTGCCCCCTTAGTTACCCCATCCCATGACTATCACGTGACCCCAGCCCCCCCGCCACACACCCGTCTTGTCTAAGTGTATTCTGCACTGCCTGAGCTCGCTGCACTTACTCCCTCATGGGTCCTCACAAACCCGCCCCCTGTTAAATCTATTCCCCATAGCTAAATATCTTATAGGTTACTTATGTATACAAAATCTTTTTCATTAGCCTGTCATATTGCAATACATGACCAAACATTCAAAATTAATATCTCTTGATTAAAAGTTACATTGATTACAGGTTACATACCCTCCCGGGCAAAAAACGGGCCAAAGCTTAATGTTGTGCAATTAGGGTTTGGGCCATTTTTTGGCACAGGAGTGTAGTTACTGGTTACATAGGTTACACAGGTAACAAGGTTACAAGGTCAATCATCAAGAGTAAGACAAATACTGAATAATGATTAAGTACTTGATTGTCAGACATAGACTGATTAAATCCTTAACTTGTACTGATTAATTTAAAATATAACTTCCACACTCAGTTAAAATCAGCAAACTCCAATTCTAGATGTTTTCACAAAAACCCCTTATGTTATCATACACAGGACATGCAAATCAATGCAATAGAATTAGTTCAAATGAAGGTGATATATTGGGATTAACTGAAGAGTATGTAATCTTTAGCTAATAATAAGATTGAAAAAAAAGTGATAAACTGACGAGAAGAAAGATTATGTTTAAGAATAGGAATAACCCCAGAGTGATACTTTTGGCTGCGTCTCCAAAGCGTCAAGACAGACGGAAACCTGCAAAGACTGAATCATTATCCTCAGTGGAATATATGTTGTTCCTGTCTGGACTCCAAATTTTGACGCACACCCTTCCATTCTTAGACAACTGCATTATAGTGCCACAGGACACCATTGTGTCTCCCTTCTCGTTGAAAGATGTAACCATTTTCTCATTGTTCTTGAAGATGCCATACTATGCTTTGCCATATATTGCTGCTTGCACTGTAATGTAGCAAAATTCAGGCTCTGGGCAGGACCAGAGGATTGGAGTTTGGCACTAAGAGCTAGTCGTTTCTGTAATAATACAAAACAGAAGTAGAAACATTTAGAATATTAAAAAAACAACAAAAAAAAACATCTTATTCAAAACATGAAATGAAAAGTAATGTTACTACAGGTAATTTACAACTTTTTTCAAGCAAAATATATATTGCCTGATTTTGAGAGATGTGGAGTAAAACTTATTTGTGATAAACCTTTACATTCAAATGTCTACCAAACCTTTGGTGTGAATCTTCACAGCATCACTGGGGTCACTGTCTTCATCATCAAAGACTGTCCTGTACCTAAGAAGATACACAGTGTTTGGCTGCAGCCCTGAGATGATCCGAGTCTCTTCATTTTGATTTTTTTGTGTGTCTGTAGTCTCCCAGTCATGTTCTCCATTCTCCTTCTTAATCTCCACTTTGAATTGCAAAGTTTTTGAGGCTGGAAATGACTGTAGCTTCAGTGTTATACTGTTGACGCTAAAGTCAAGTACTTCAGGTGTAGCTGGTTTTATTATGGGGTTGTACCGGGTATCCACCAGATTCCCATTTTGATGGAGATAAATGGAGGCCCCAGAATGAGTGGGGTTAGAGATGTAGGCAATGACAAATTTGTTTTTCTTTTCTTCTTTGTTGAAATATGAAAATTTTTTGAAAAGGTAAAAGTTTTCTCTCATGGTCTGTGATATGTCAGGTGTGAGAAACCATGGGGTTGACTTATCCTCAACAGCATCTTCAGTGTCCATTTGTTTCATGAACTGTTCAGAATGGAGAAATTTTGTGAGATCCAAAATGTATGGCTCTTCATACTTCAGGGAGGTGAAGACAAATGTGGCGATTGTTTTGTAGCATGGGTTAAGAATTAATATATTGTGCTGAGTAGGAGACACTATTTGGACATTGTTTTGATTGTCAAAGGCATCAATGTAAGATCTGAGCACCTCACATTCACTCCGCTTTTCATCCAGCCATTTCGTCATCATTTCTGTTGTGAAAGGTGAGCTGGAGTGGGATGTAAGAATTTGCACCAATATGTCTTCACCTGTCTTTCCATTACGGATAGTTGGAATAAGCGCTGACACCTCTTTCTGGACAGTTATCTTGTATTGCCTGAGCATCTTCTGAAATGTTTTCAGTTTGTCCTGTATATCAGTAGCCTGAATGGTCTCACTGATTTGCAGCAACTCATTGACCGTGATGGTTGCTGTCTGAAGGTCTTCCATGACAGTTTCCATTTCTGTAATCAGGTTCTCTCTGATCTCCCTCACTAACTGGGCTGCCCTGTTGTCCAGGTACTTCAGAGGGTAAAGCCACACTGTCATTGGGACAGCCTTCTCTCCTCTCTCTCCTAGAAGCTTTGGCAGGTCTTTATACACTTTAACTGCTTCCATGTAGGTAGTTGGATTTTCTTTCAGTATGACATCACCATAGAAGGTGCACTGGAATTTCTCCACCTTATTGAGATCCTCCTCTTTTATGTTTACTTCTCCGCTGCCACTAATAGAAATGGTTGGAATTTTCTTGACCATGACTTCCAATGTACCCTGAATTTCCTGCTTATCTTCATTCCTGGAAGCAGTCTGATCAAAAACCATGAAGGCATCAGCTCCATACAGCACACCTGTGACAACATGAGTGGCTGTTCCCTGGTCAAGCACATCTACATAAGTTATATTGCTAATATTTTTCATGTTGAGCTGCTTAAACACAGTCTTCTGGCTGTAATGCACAGTCACTCTACACTGACTTTCCGTGGTCACTGTGTCTTTGAGATACTTTGCCGACCCTCCTACCTCAATCAGGCCCCCCAAGAAACTCGCCTTCAGGGAGGCACTTATGTCCAGCAGACTGGACTTCTTACTAAGAGAGTCAGAGGCAGTGATTTCAGATTTTGTTTGGTTCTGTTCATGTACGGTCATGTTATTTTCAAAATCTTCAGCATCCCACAATGTGACACCTGGAGTAGTAGAGGAAAACAGGGAAGACACTAATATGTACTGATTTTTTCTTTCTGATTCTTCTTACCCAAAATAGTTTCAATTGATCATGTCATTCAAAGGGAAATACAATTGAATATTTCAATAGCTATAAAGGCAAACATTTTTTAGATTTTATACATTTCTTTATTTGTCTTTCATTCTGTACCTGGAATGAAGCTGTCATCACGGCAGTCATACAGCATTCCTGGGTGTAACGGTCGTCCAAGGGCTGCGATCTGGATACTATTGCTGGTCATGATTGCTGGACTGCAGCGAAAATTCTTTTTACTGTTACTATTCAAATTTAAAATTATTAAACATGAACTAGTGAAGAACAACCAATTATCACACAGAAGGATCCTGAAGGAAAAACAACAATCAGATTAAAGATACTTCATTTGTGTGCTGCACAGATTGATTACATCAGGTTTTAAAATAACTATTTTATGGAAATAGCATATTCTGCCAATCTGACTTCTATTTATTTTTATAATATGTTTCTTTTATAAAAATGTATGTATTTTTTTTCAAAGATTGGAAGCAAAAGGCTGATGAATAGACAGCAAAAAACTTTAGCTATGAACAATCATGAAGAAATGTACAGATTATTTGCATTATCTGCACTAATTATCTGCCACTAATTCTATAGTATCACAGACTGAACGTTTGTGACTGCAAAGTAAAATCCTGATTAAGTCATTGAATCTGAAATTTCAATGATAGTACAGTAGTAGAAATTAAGATATCAAAAATTTACCTGTTTAGTCTTCTTCACTGTTATAGCTGATATGATGTGCTGTCTGTCAGCCTTTATACAGAGCTTTTGATGTTGGTTGTATCGGAGGAGGAGCTTGGACAGCTTAGATATACCAATGGAAGAACACTTTAGCACCCGGTGAAAACCTGCATATTACAATTAAGATGTGCAAACTCTCCACACGCACACACACATACACACACACACATATACTCAGGTTTGTAATTATATCTCTGTGGAGACGACCTTAACCCCTACCCAGCCCTAATCGTAACCATAAGTAAGCAGACAAAATACAAGACTTTTGGCATTTTTACTTTTTCGATTGCATTCACAGATCTTTGTGGGGACCTGAAAAACCTAATCAACACACACACAGATACGGGAATGTCCTGTTACTACACCCATATTTTGGTATGTTGTTTCCAAATATATTTTTTTCTGTTTCCACTGAACAGGAAGGTGAGCAGATTTCCAGGTTGTTGGAAATTTGCCATGTGTGGAATGGAGGCACAGAATGACATGGGTGAAATAAATACTCTATCACCAATGCAAGAAAATGTAAAAATCTAATCATGTCTAGTAGATAATTGGTGTAAGATTGATGGATGATTCAAAGGTGTCTTCCCTCTCAGGTTTGGGATCTGTATCACGGAGCAGGATTTTTTGGTTACTGTGATAACTTGTCAGATTTAAGGTAATCAGGGCTAAATGTAATTGAATGAAGGTAAAGTCCATTTAAACTGGGGTACCTTAAATCCAACTACTTATTTAGCAAACCAACCATCTTGCTTCATGATATAGGCCCCTTGTTGGCTCTTTCCACCATTTAGTCAAGTTATTATGGGTATTAGCTGAGACTCCTAGGCTTCTTTTGTTTCTTCAGTTTCAGCCTCAGTCATGCAACAACAAGGTGATAGTCTGATGCAACATCACCTCCTTGCTTTCCCCCCCCCCTTTTCTCCTGTTCGGCAGCTTTAGCAGAATCATAGTCTGAATGCACTGCTGTGCCAAACATGTTTGCTTTACCATGAGGGGCTCTATAAACTCTGTATAGGCCCCTCATGTTGATCGATTTCTTTTTATTTTATTTATCTATTTCATTTTTAGCACATGTAAAATATTACAGTGGCTGAGTTGGCCGAAGAGGGGGGACAGATTAGGAAGGGGAAGAAAAATAAATGAAATAAAAATTTAAAAAAACCCGATATGAGTAAAGTAGAAAACACAATACACAATCTCCAATTGCTGCACCTGTAAAGGAGAGGGAAGAAAAAAAAAGGCAAAAGATCAACAGCATCTGAAAGAAGTGCAGAAATGGATAAATTCATGAACACAAACAAAAATAAAGAATGAAGAAAGTAATACAGCTATACAAACATAGAAAATTGTTGTGTGTGCTTGGAGGGGTGTGTGCAAGTGTATGTACATGCATGCTCAATTGTGTAGGCGAGATGTGCGTGTTGTGTGCGTGCGTTGTGTGTGTGTGTGTGTGTGTTTTCAACATGGAACGTACTAAATAGCGAGGGTGGGAGGCCACAGCCACACCCCACAAGAGGCAGAGGTCGGCGAAGACAGACCCAGGAGGCTCAGGACGACCGCAGACCCCCGAAGAGCATGGAAGAGCCAGGGCCCCACGTCCCAATGACAGCTGGGGGAGGAAGGAGGTCCCAGACGCAGTCCCCGCAGCCAAAAGGGCACGAGAACCAGAGGCAATAGGCAGCCGACCCCGCGAGGGGGCGGCCACTCCAGTACAAGCCAAGGCCAGGGCCCCTAGGACCCCAGGCAGCCGGGGGCCAACCAGCCCCCAGTAGAGAGCCCCGCCCACGCCAGAGAGGCCCGAGCCCACCCCCTGGGCCACCACCCCTAGGAAAGGGGCCAGCCACCATGCCCAGGAGACCAACTGTGCCCAGGACGGAGCAGCAAGCCCCGGACCCAGGCCCCCACCAGCTACACAGACACCCCGCAGACACACCTCTCAGTCGTGCACATAGACCATACACACATCCCCACAACATACACAGACACCCCGCAGACACACCTCTCAGTCGT